TATATATATATATATATACTGAGTCTTATCTTTTTTCTAAATATGTGGCACAGAATGACTCGACTGGAATTAAAAGATTACCTTGAAAACATCTACAAAGTGCCTGTGGCTGCCATAAGAACCAGGATACAGCACGGTGAGTCTGAATTCTGAACTGCCTTCTGGCAGGTACTTTAACATCCATTTCCCATCAAAACCTTCCTCCAGTTTATCTTTTTTTCATGTTTTATTGAGATCATGAAAATTACAATTCATGTAATGTACAGAATGAAATACAATTGTGTGTTAGAGAGAGAGGCATCGTGCGTAATATGACGGAATACAATACCACAAGTATAATGAAACATGCAAAACTAAACCTTGATTTGGAAATAGTCCTACTGATCAGTACAGAGAGTAATGTAACTCATTAAACGGTGAAAAACACTTAAGTGCTAAATGTGTGTTCATCTTCTGGACTAAACTCAAGGAGAGAGGAAAGGTTTCATAGACTCAAGAGGTATGACTCTACACCAGCCCAAAGAATTAGGAAATAAGAAGGTAGAGAAGTGACAGATTAGAGGTGAAGAATTTGGTGGTATGTCTGATTTGGGGGAGGTGAGATCTTGCCGAAGAACATAATCGATGAAGGGAAGCCATTTCTCAACATACATCGTTTTCCTAGGGTGGATGTTTGATTGCAGTAGGCGATCTGTGATCTTTACCCTCACTAGGTGTTCCCAATTTATTTATTTTTTCTTGCCCAATTGGGCAAAGTTTATTATTTTTTAACAAGTTACATAGAAAAGAGCCATACATTTTAAGATAGCAAGCCAAATACCTCGTTCGTCATTTCTCCCAAATTTTTGAAAACCATTCAGACAAGACTGGCAGCGGGTGAGATCTCCAGTGTTTCGCTGACAATGTCTGTGCAGCTGCTATTAAACTATGGTTGAGTTCCCAACGACTTCTTGGATCAATGGATCATTCTCAAGATGCAATAGGATTGTCTCAGGGGTGAAAGTAATTGAATATCCAGTTATTTGTGCGATGTGCTGAAGGATCATTCCCCAGAACTCTTGTATCCGAGTGCATTGCCACCAGCAATTGTAGTATGAATGGGAATATAAAGATTTTTATATATAGGTTTTTTCTTCTTGATTGTTCATATTCATATTTCTCTGGTTTTTATACATTTATTCTTTAAGTAATATTTTATTAGGATGTTAGAAAGGCCTGTTATATAGAAGGCTTTCCTCTTGTAGGTTAGCAGACAATAGGTACAAAGTTCATGATTCTGTAGTTCTTAGGGCAAACCTTTCAATGTCTGGGTCAGAGAAGATTTTAGTCTGATATGAAGAAACCTTGCCCATTATCATTTAGGTTAGGTTAAGTAAACACTTAGTTTGACACAGATATGTTTCTTTATATCTGGCCAATCAGAGGATTATTACTCAAAATTACCACTGTCTTTTGTAACCAATTATGCTGTTTGAATATTGTTTTCTTGATGATGTCAGTCCATGTATAAAATATCGTGTATTTCCTGAATATGTTCAGAATAGGCTCAAGAAGAAGATGAAGAAGAAAAAGAAGAAAGTTGTCAATTTTTGGTTAACTATTTGGTCTAATTGTTTTCCGATTAATTGAGGCATGTTTCCTGATTATGCTGAGAAGAAAGCAGTCAGTTTTGATGGGTCCTTTGGCCTAACTGTTTTCCGTGTTTCATTGCAATAAAATACAAGAACTTCCTCCTCATTTTGACTTCATTTTTGACATGGAATCTAATATGTACAACACAATAGGCAAATGTCCCAGCTTCCCCACAGCCTTTCCAACATAGTGGCGAGTTGGAAGGAGAGAAGCGTGCCATCTTTTGAGGTGGAATGTACCACCTGGCTAGGATCTTGTAGGATTGTAGACGTAGATGCGCCGAAGATGAAGAGGAAAGAGAGGTACGCCAGATAGCTGCCCATTGACTGTCAGTGAATTCAGTTATTACAGTCACGTGACAAAGCTTTCTTGATACTCCAGAGGCTTTGAGGAACTATATTGTAGCAGTATGAGGTATATTTTTTTTGATAAGGCCACTGAATCCCACTGAGTCGCTGTTCAGTAGATCTTCAAAGCTAGTAAGGGGCAACCTTGAGACGGTGGAAAGGTGTAGATGGGTGTACATGCGTCTCAGTTGAAGACAGAAGAACCATGGGATTTTATGAAAGGAGTTCATCGTAAAAGCAATATCAGTCTCATCCAAGACTTCCTTTGTTTCTTCAGTCATAAATCTTGCCAAAATGTGTGCCATCTTTTTTCTAGTGTCTTCTCCTTTTTCCTTAGGGATATTTTGAAATCAGTATATAGGCTGACTTATCTAATTCCAGTCTCATGAGGTCTTGTTCTAGTAAGGCTTGTTTAGAATCTGTTTCCTTTGTTTTCTCCTGAAGCTTGGATGTTGTGCTGGTGAGCTCTTCAATTTTTCTGGTTATTTTCTTTCTGTTGATTTTGTAGAGTCTCTATAGTGGCAGAAGGTTGTTGTGTCCAATGTTCCCTCTAGGCTGAGGAGTCTCGTGAGCAAAAATTCTACTTTGTGAGCTACTGGCATGAAAGTTGTGAGCGAGCAATTTGGCTACTGCATAAATTAGTTTGCTCTGGAGCCTTCCTGAGCTGAGATAAAAATGTGTGAGCCAAACATCTGTGAGCTAGCTCACACTAACTCAGCTTAGAGGGAACACTGGTTGTGTCATGTCTTTCATGGAATCTCTAATTGGGTCCACTGCTTCAGTAATTGCAGTTTTCATGGTGGTTGAAACTGCTTTTTTCATCAGTGTAGAAACGGTATCTTGGATCATGGACTGAAGTTCCTTCATGGTTGCTTGTGACAGACCGGACGCTACTGATTTTGATATACCTGGTGAACTAGAAGACTGTGGTTTAGGTAAAGGTTTGTTAGAGCCTGCCATTTTTTAAAAAACAGGGTCTTATACTAAAGCCGATAGCCCATACAATACAGTACTATGACAGATTTTTTACACCCACTTATCGCTTATGCCCAAGTTTATTATAATTTATAATTCAGACCACATTTAAACATTATATTTACACAATGATTCAAAAGAACATAAAGTTCTCAGACTTATCACTTATAATCCAAACAAAAGCCAACAAACCAACACACAATGCTGCAGACTTATTGTGAGAACATTTCTTAGTAGCTTCTTCTCTTCTTGCCTTATATGGATAGGTCAGGGGGGAAAAAGGAAGAACAGAGAAAAAGGGCAAAGCAAGAAAAAGCAAAACTTCCAGTGTATATATATATTTTTAGAAGGAAATTGAAAGAAGAAAGAAAAGGAGTGTCAGTCCCGAAACATTAATCCACCTTACCAAACTTTATGATGCAAACTTTTAACTTATATATCCAAGGGTTTGAATGTTATGATCCAAATGTGTAGTTGTCTTCATTAAAATGAAGTCTAAAGAAACACAGTCAAAGGCTTATTCAAGACCAGTAGATCGATTTGTATATCCTCGAGGGATGAGTTTTAATTGTCTTTTAAAGCCGTCATTGAGAACCAAGGGTGATATCAGTTAAGTTGAAAAGTCTCTTGAAAGTTGCCCCACAGCTGTAAGCGCAGCCGCTTCTCTCGTCTGTTGCAATCTGCTAAGCGAAGGGGGGGGGGGGAAGGAGATGTTCTTCCCCTTCTTTTAGTTCTTTAGAGTTCTTTAAAAGGGGCATCATAGAGGGGGCGAGGATCAGTGCTTTTTGCTTTCACTCTAGTCACGGTGGTTTTCTTGAAGATTATATTTGCACAATCTCGATAGTCCCTTTAATCGGGAAGCGACAGCTTCGTCCTTATGGCTGCCACAAGCACACCAGCAAATCTCCTTGCTGGGGATGATCCCGTGTGCTGCCGCCGAACGGGGAGCCCGGATCCAGACCCATGCGCTGCACACCCCCCCCCCGGGGAGTACAGTACAGCTCGGGAACCCCCCGATGCTTCTCTAGAGGAGGTTCGTGGCTGGCGGCTTCACGGAGTGAGCCCCGGTGCCTACCATCGCACTGCGCTGCAGCCCCGCCTTTTCCCCTTCAGTTTATCTTTGAAGAGGCAATTGCTTTGCACTGAGTGGTGGGAGTTGTATCTGTAACATAAAACAAGATTATACTTACAATAAGTTCCTATATGAATGGTATCCTCTATGCCAGGGGGTGCTGGAATGATCCAGGTGGGCTGGAACGATCCAGGTGCAGATCCACAAACTGCATATTTTTGTCCAGTTCTTGAAGGTAGATGTCCAGTGGGGCGCTGAGTAATTTTTTTTTTCTGGAAAAAGGGCAGTAGGCCAAATAAATTTGGGATCCTCTGCTCTATGGGAAGATCAGATTTGGATTATCATCGGCCTATTGATGTCTCTAGAATTTCTTGATATAAACCTGCCATCATCTTGTAGTTTTGTATTTAAGGCCTGAGATCTTGAGGCAGACTTCAATTGTATTTGTGTCAGGAATTTAGTCCTTAAAGGTATTTTTCCTTTTCCCAAATGGACTTGTCATTTAATGTTACAAAGTCATGTTACTGAAAAGCAATCAGATTCCTTGCAAAAAAAATCTTGAAACTGTTGCTTATGACCAACACAAATATTGCTGGTATGTTTGCAAGATAGCAATGCAGATTAAATGCGATATGATTGATTTTTTTTTAAAAAAGCATATCTATTAAAGAAGATGGGAAGCTTCAGGTATCTTTAAGAGGGTATTATTTATTCAAAAGAAGAGAGGGAAATGAATTTGCAAGTAGGAAAGGAGTGATAAAGCATCCTCCATCACTTCGTCAATGTGTGTAAAGCTCTTTGTAGTTGTATTTGAGAACAGCCTATTGGGAACTCTTCTTGTGGAAGACCTATTTAAGTGAATGGGCAGTAAGTTGTACTCTTAAATTGCTTAGACATGTGCAAGAAAATTTTTAGTATAGGGTTACCTTTTGCCTCACCCATCCCTAGAGTCATCCATTGAGGAGAGTTACTGGCAGCTATGTACTGAACTTTGATTTCTCCTTACACTTCGTGACTTCTATTCTCTTTGTGGAATATTAAGCCATGTAGTTGTATTGTGCATGTAAGAAGCACATATAACGTAGGAACTGAGCAGTTCTAATGAAATAA